GTTAAGATACAGTAGAATGGGTGGGAGGAATATGTGTGCCGGAGAGCAAAAAAAAAAGTGTCAACAAAAATCCTAGATGTGTTTAGAGAAAATTCAAGTACTTGCCTAATGCCTATACATTATGTGTATGCTTGTATTCTGGATGTATTAGTTGATTTTGATTAACAGTTTAGCTGTTATTCCTGCTGAAGTTTATTTAAGAAACTGTGAGTCTGCTATTATAGAATGGAGTATATGACAGATAGATTATTGTACCATAAATTTGTCTTGGTCTCTTTTCTTTACAGGCTGTACCCGCAAAACCAGAATAATTGATGTAGTGTACAATGCATCTAACAATGAGCTGGTGCGCACAAAGACGCTGGTGAAAAACTGCATTGTACTCATTGACAGCACACCATACCGACAGTGGTATGAAGCCCACTATGCCTTGCCCCTTGGGCGCAAAAAGGGTGCCAAGCTGGTAGGTATAAAGTAAGCTTAGTGAGCTTTTACACAGCTCATCTTGTTTCCTTCCACTAGGAGTTGCAGCCGGCTGTTCTGTTAGATTTCATATCATTTTGTGCTCTTGAATTGTTTTATATTCAGCTGTTGTTTCCTAGAATGTGTGACTTTTTTGTCTTCTGTTGATGATAACCTTTGTCCAGTTCTGCTGCTGAATAAAGAGCGATGACAGGTATTGATCTGAAGAAGACAAAAGGCTGGCCTCCACAGGGGTTTTTGCCTGTATAAAGCTGGATGCTTTTTAGCCCTCCAGCTGTACTGCTGCCTCTGGCATCCTTAGCTAGCATAGCCTCTGATGAGTGATAATGGGTTTTGTAATGCACCAACAAAAGTTGCTTGTCCCTAGTTTACACTGTCTCATTTTAGGCTAATGTCTTGAATAAAATATACACTCAAAATATTAAGACTTTCTTTTTATGAACGTTAACTTATTTGTCAGTGTCCATTGCCCAGGTTAAACAAGTGAAAAAGCTTGCCAGAATAGAACCACTCTTTCATTTGTATGATAGATGCTAGAGAAGAGACGATTCTCCACCTTTCCCAAGCAGAGATAGAAAATTTAGAGTCTTGGGAATTTCCTGACAGCAACCCTGTTCTTAGCTTGTGCGGACAGAAGAGGAGCAAGAAATGGCCTCCTGATAGAAAAATGGCAGTGATTTTGATAAGAGAAAACAGAAATGCATTCCCGTGCTGTTGAAGGCCCCTGAATTATTATAAGGTGACCCACGTTTCTCCTTTCCATACTTTCTTGAAGGTATCAAGATGTAAAGAAGGAAGGAGAGAAAACAGCCACCAGGAGATCAGCTGACAGTTACAAGGAGCAGTCTCTGCTGCCTGTAGGAGGGATCATGTAGTGCATGCAGCTTGTGTTTGCTGTGTTGCTCAGAGGGAAAGAAGCTCTGCGATTTTCGCCCTATGCGGGCACCGTTTTGCGATCGCATTTGCGATTGCAAAACCGGCCTCGTAGAGCGGATTCATCGCTCTACGAGGCACCCGTTGTGCGAGGCACCACTGTACTTTGGTGAGGTATGCTTTGTGAAGTTGTGGTAGTAATGTAGCCATTTTTACTTACCTTATGCTCTCATTCCAGACTCCTGAGGAGGAAGAAATTTTAAACAAAAAGTGTTCCAAGAAAATTCAGAAGAAGTACGATGAGCGGAAAAAGAATGCTAAGATCAGTAGTCTGCTTGAGGAACAGTTCCAGCAAGGAAAGCTACTTGGTGAGGGCCAGAAATAGAAAAGAGTGAACAAACTAGGTGCCAGAAAAATGTCTGCAAAGGTGTTGTGTTTGTCAGTATATTAGGTTCATCTGCAGGGAATGGTGTCAATTTAAAGCTTGTGTAAAGCTGGAGCTGTTTGTAAGATGTAATGTTCATGTTAATACTCCAGTCCGAACTTGCAAAGAGGCATAGCTTATTTGCAGACTGCTCATTTGATGAGGTCTGTGAAATGGAACTAGACAGATTTACTAGTTATAATTATACATGAGAAGAATGTCGTCAAAAAAATGCATTGGCCAAATGACCCGTGTGATTCAGTAGAATTTTGAAGTTGACCTTGTGATGAAAAATTTGTCCAGTTCTGCTACTGAATGCAAGTGGTGACAATTTGGATTCTGAAGGTTGCTTTGTCAGTAGAATGTTTTCCTGGGCTTTTCTGTATGAGCCTTGCAGTTTGATAGAAGATAGGACCTTCAGTTGTTTAATATGGTCCAGTTAGGAGTAGACTACAGTCTTGAACTCCTGAGATTACCAATTAATAATCTGATGTGAAAGACTGAAGCAACTTGATAGTTCCAATTGATACTTCTCTAATAGTGTGTTTTGTTTTGCAGCTTGCATTGCCTCCCGGCCTGGACAGTGTGGTCGAGCAGATGGTTATATTCTGGAAGGCAAGGAACTGGAATTCTACCTGAGAAAGATTAAGGCCAGGAAAGGCAAATGAACAGTCACTGTACTTACTGGGCTAAATAAATACAACCAGAGTCTTCTAATAAACTATTGATGTGATTATTTGAGTCCAGTGGGTGAAGAGGCTACACAAAATTCTTCAGAATTATTGACTAACTGACTTCTTTGCAGTGTTGGGAGGGGGATGTGAAGGGATTCTTAAGAGGGCAGAATGGATTTTCTGTAATGGAACACTTCTAGTCACTGTTGCTGCCTCTAAGTATATGGATAGGTGGGGGTTCCTTTTTCTTTGTTCAGGAAAATTTAGAACAAGAGCATCATTGTAATGTTGTCCAGTATCTAATTTTTGCTTCCAGATATTTTGGAGTGTAATAGCAGACTTATTACTATACCCTGGGGTGTATGGAAGGATGACCATCAGCAGTGAGCTAGCTTACATTCACTGAGTTATTCAGTGTGAGCCTAGTAGTTGTAAATATCATGCTTCATTTGGGTGCTTCAGTGGACCTAGGAAATGTGCATTGATCATTTCTTCAGAAGTATAGAGAATGATACTTCACAGTGATCTGCCTAATGATCTGATATAGGTACAATACAATAATAGTAGTCGAAGGAAAAATTATAGAGGATTTGTAGAAGTGAAGACACTTGAGCTGTCATGAGTATCACTGCATTATTAACTATTGAATAGAAGTGTTGATGCACTGCTAAGTGACCAGGCTGTCTCTTTTATGACTTTTTGGTCTCATTCCAGTGCAAGATAAATCCCCTTCTAGCAGAAGGGCCAGGCTTCCTTCCAAAGGCCTGGTTCTTTCGAAGGCTGGGTACAACTATTTTCTAACATGTTTACATTTTTATTTTTGAGAGCCTTTTGATATGAATGGGAGCATGAGGCCATAAGTGTTAGTATCTTCAGGCTTAAGGCCATCTTCCACATGACAACCTGTGAAATAATAAAGCACGCAGCTTTATACTTTGATGTAGTGTTCATATGCCTCACTTCTGTGGGTTGGGACAGAAAGAATCTCCTCCAGACCTGCATCTGACTTCCTGTGTTCAAAACATACTTCTTCCAAGGTTTGAATACATATTTGCAGTGTTTTATGGGCATGAACCCAGTGATGTGGAAATGAAGCCAGTAGTGGGGAACACAATATAAGTTTACCTGGGCAACTTCAATAGAGTAATGGTTAAATTTGAAGCCACAAGTCAGTTTACTCTTCAAATGACTGATTCTAGGAAATGCATGCAATTTACATACACATTCTCCTGGTTTCAGGCATGTTTTTCCCCTTAAAAGTGAAGTTATAAGCACACTAAAGAATAACCCCCATGGAGCTCAAGATTAACTTATAGCTGAATGAATACACAGGATTATCCTGGCAAAATCTAAATGTACGGTAATTACACGCATTTAATAAAATTAATGTTGGAAGTAAAGTTCTGAATTTGTTTAAATGAAAATTAAGTTATTGGTTGTATATACAGTGGTGCCTCGCACAGCGAGGTTAGTCTGTTCCGGATTAACCCTCGCTGTGTGAAAGCATCGTTGAACGGAACGTAAAAACCCACTGGAACGCATTAAACATGGTTTAATGCGTTCCAATTGGGCCGAATACTCACTGTTCAGCGATGCTTCAGGATGGCCGGCAGCCATTTTCGCGCCCTCCGCTCGCTTTATGAGGGCGCAAAAACGCTGCATGTGGCCATTTTGGGGCTTCCGGCGGCCATTTTGTAGCCGCTGAACAGCTGATCGGCGGGTCACAAAGCGAAGGTCGGTAAGCGGTTCGCTTAGCGAACCGCTTACTGACCTTTGCGATTTTCGCCCTATGCAGGCACCGTTTTTGCGATCGCAAAACCAGCCTCGTAGAGCGAATTCATTGCTCTACGAGGTGCCCGTTGTGCGAGGCACCACTGTATATCATATTTCTTCTCATAACAATCCTCTGAAATGGTTCAGGTTGAGAATCACTCACCTTGTGGGAACTAATCCTTGGATCTCACAAGTCCCAGGCTGCTGCTCTTAACACTTAAATGCCTTGTGAATCTTTTACCATAGTTGAATAGTTCCAACTACATTTGCTGCTGGAAAAAGTACCTGATATGTTTGTCCAGTGTGTAAAATAGCAATTTCCTGCTACATCCTCTTGCACACTAAGAATTTGAATGGCTTGGAAAGCTTTGTTTTCAAAATGTGGGGTAAATTGGATCTCTAAGGAAAAATATAAAATGTTCAGGATCAAAACTCCACATTTCTTTTGAGTCCTTCAGCTTAAGTCTTTCTTAATCCCTTGTGAAATCCATTGATAATCTAGATCATTGGTTCTGAAACTAGCGTCCCCAGATGTTCTTGGACTGCAGTTCCTAGATGCCTTCACCACAAGCGATTCTGGCCAGGATTTCTTGGAGTTCTAGTCCAAGAACATCTGGGAACCCAGGTTTGAGAACCACTGATCTAGGTTACTAAAATGATACAGTTTTGTGTGTGTGTGTGTATGGATGTGGCAATACTGCAAAGTAGATATGTTTGTATTATGTACTAGCACAATCCATGTTTCCTGTATATAGGAATCTAGCATATATCTGTAAATGTTATTATTTATTAGCCAAGACAACTATAATTAGTCTACAAAAATAATAGGTATACTTCTAAATTGTTTCTCATATTTGTTGAGATGTGTTGAATCTTGCACTGGTTACCCCAGACCCTGCAGTTGATGAGCTTAGCCAGATGGCTGGTCAGATATGCTAATACTATCATCGAGGGCCTCCACTACTCTAATAAGGGGCAGATCCTTCCTCTGTGTCTCTGTACTGTCTAACTTCCATGAGTTTGGACTAGGAGAGTTATTAAGTTTAGTTTCATCATCCTCCATCTCTTCATCAATGCGACCAACTGTGTCCAGATCCTCCCTGCGGTAGAAGCTAGGACTGCCAGCAGGGAAAGTGCCCTCTGTCCTCAAACGCAGGAGTTGAGCATGGTGACTGCGGCTGCCCTTGCCAAAATTTTTGAGGCTAACTGCAGGGGAGGCAGCTGCAGTGAAGAAACGGTTGAGCAGGGGTGTCTGAATGCGATTCATACTGGGTGAAGCATCTACCTGCTGACTTTGCTCTGGATCATCATTCATCCTGCCAAGGAGGGAAAGTGGATAAAAGAAAAAGAACAATGTTACAGCTCTAGACTGCTAAGCTGCGTACACGGGCTTTTCTACTATTAATAGCATAATGGGTAGGTGATATGCAAGGTTGATACCAACTGAGCAATTGCACTTTTACTGGGCTTTTCAGTAGTACAGGTACTCTGCGCATGTTCAAGAAGGTTTTCACAAAAACTAGCCATGCCTTCACTGAGATAGAATCTCATCAAGCATGGTACTGTGCCAGTTCCTGTATTCAATTTGTTCTTTTGTGTCTTGTTCTGCCTTCAGGAAATATGTCAGATGGTTGTCCATTTTTCTCTTTAATGCCTCTAGTGTTGGAATGCTCACCCCTCCAGAGGTATTTGTTTCCAGTGTTGTACTGCTCTAACAGTTAATACATCTTTAATGCCTCTAGTGTTGGAATGCTCAAGATGATGATCAAGAACAGATTCTGTGCCTCCTCTGTATGATTACTTTTCAAGTATTTAAAAAAATGCCATCATATTTTCCCTCAGCCTTTTTTCCTCCAGGCTAAATATGCCCAGTTCTTTCAGTCTTTCCTCATTGGACTTGGTTTCCACTCCCCTGATCATCTTTGTTGCCCTCTAAACTTGCTTCAGCTTGTTGGCATCCTTAAAGTGCAGTGTCCCAAACTGGATACAAGATTCTAGGTGAGGCTAAGCAGTGCTGAATAGAAGGGGACTACTATATTGCGCCTTTTTTCCTCCAGGCTAAATATGCCCAGTTCTTTCAGTCTTTCCTCATTGGACTTGGTTTCCACTCCCCTGATCATCTTTGTTGCCCTCTAAACTTGCTTCAGCTTGTTGGCATCCTTAAAGTGCAGTGTCCCAAACTGGATACAAGATTCTAGGTGAGGCTAAGCAGTGCTGAATAGAAGGGGACTAGTATATTGTGCCTATTTTATATGGGAAATTTTACATATCTTTTTAGAAGTCTAAGGTATGTAATACCTACTGTTGACCCCTAACTATGTGCTTGTTAATTGTTTTCTGGAACATTGCAGTCTTTACTTGCAATGGACTTGCCCTTGCTGTCTTCCCTATGTGGTCTTTGTGTTCTTGGAGGGTCTGCAAACTGAAGCAGCTTTGTCAGGGGGAATGAAGTCTGGTATACCAGTGGCTCCTATTCCCATTGGTGAGTGAATGTGGTTATATTTTGCTGGTTGAAATGTTACTGTGCATCCTTCACCTTTTCCAGGTTTGGATTCATAGGTTTTTGTTGGGATAGAATAATAGCATTCAATTTGCCAAGTGCACTTACCTCATGTCAAAGGTGGAGCCCATAAATGAAGGTTTTAAGGTCTCTGCCACAGTGGCCATTGTGTATGGGGGCTGAGCTGTAGTCTCATTCCAGTATTTGTCCTTGCCAGTAGGAGGTAGGTTCTGGTACATATCATCCACGGAAAGGAGCGATACCTAGCCATATAAAACAATATTTCTGACCCAAGAAAAGCTGGATAAAACCCGTATTGAAGAGAATCAGGACAGCAATATACAGTAAGGGGCAGCTAAATAATAGAGGAGAACTCTGTTTTGAAGGACCATGAGGTCTGCTAAAAGGGTGTTGGGGAGTATGGATTGTCCTGATGTCAGACAGCTCAGCCTGTCAAACAAATGGGCAAATATATTCCAAAGTCCATAGATACATAGTCAGAAGCTGTTGGGAAAGCTTTCAAAACTGTTGGGAAAACTAATGAATATTACATCTAAAAATAGTTTAATGTTTATTTCATGGGTAGAAGCAGGATGACTTAATGGCTAAAAGAATAATTTATGAATACACCTCACCAAATCTTTCATTGCATTAGTAATTCTCACTTGAAGTTTTCACATAAATTAAACTTTTGGAAGAAGGTTAAGACTTGGGCTAGAACAGTGTAAAAGTCATAAAAGGCATAGCTGTATATCAGAAAAAGTTTAAATAAATGAAAACGGTACTCTGAGATGCATGACCTTTTTCAGTACGTACTTGGTTTCTATTTTACAGTTGTTAAATGTATCCACATTAACAAAGATACATATTATTTCCTTTTATCTCTTCTTTTTCAAATGATATTCTATATTAGTTGAACTGAATCATTACATTTCTCCTTTCCATCTTGCCACAAGCTATCGTTGGCCAGTAATCATTCTTGGTTACATCTTTCATCAGTTGCCATGATTACACTGTGTTTAATGAATTATTACATTATTAATTGATGTTCTCTGTAATTCCCATTCCTTTTGAATTTGCTTAATTTCTGCAAAATATCCAGTTTTCTACCAGTTATAACTTAAGTCAGGTTGAAGTGTTACCTTTTGTTTCCTATCCTTTTGTACAGTGCTTACCTGAAAGTTTCTGTCTATCAGTTTATTGGTTTCAAAATCATCATCATCTTCTCCAAAGGGATTGATTATCTGTTCTGCTACCTACAGAAAAGGGAAGGTAGGGTATGTGAATATACAGTATATTAAGCATTCAAAGGAACACGATTGTGGTGTTCAGCTGTGCTCTCACCTGTCCGTCATAGCTGGGCAGGGGAACCTCAGCCAATGAGAGGATGGAGGGTGGTGCAGAAGTGGGAGGAGCTGGGTTATATAAGGTGTGTGTGATGTGTGAGAGGAGATCAGTTTGAGAGATGAGTGATTAGATTGATAGAGAGTGAGAAAGAGCCTGTCAGTGAGGGAAAAAGTCTGTGTGAGCTAGTGTCTTATAAACAGTGATTGACAACTTGATTTTATACCTGTGATTTACTCCTTTTATTTTTGTGTAATCAATAAACATTTTTATTTGTTTGAAAGAAACACTTGTCCTTTTGATTTTAAGGATAGGTTGGTGGCAGCAGTTTTGGTGAAAGGTAGTGAGCACTCTTAGAGGCCTGGATGGGTAAAGGCTTGAGAGTGGCCTGCTACAATGATAGTTCCAAATATTAGAACCGTCCTTTTAAAAAATTTAAGTTCCTTATGTTCAACTAGCAGTCAATTGGACTGAATTTTAAAATGCCTTTATCTCACTTGTACCAGAATCAAGTATCAGAAAATGTCAGTTATTCAGCATTCTATTGAGAATCCCCAGAAGATTTCGCCTTTTGAGCATTGGTTGGTTGGTTGGTTAGTTGGTTTGTATACTGCCCCATTAGTAGAAAGCACTATTCTGGGCAGTTTACAACAATCAGTAAAACATACAATATTAAATAATTTTTAAAATTTAGACAGTAAAATTAAAACAAGGGCACTTAAGCCCTCCCATTCAGTTTCAAGTAACGAATGAATGGGACTCAAGAAACAAGGCTAGAATTTCAATGGGATGGGTAAAATATTTTCAAGGATTTTTACTCCTTTGAAATTTACATAATCCCCAATAACTACAAAAGAACTGAAGTTTCAGCATAATTGAAATAAAAGACCCACTTTTTCAGATAAGGCACTTGCAAATTTACATACATCTAATTGTTCCATGCAGATACACTAAGCATCTAAGCTTAATTGCTCTTTTGATGTGTTGTCAAGTAACTTCAAATTTAGGGTGACTCTGAGTTAATGACCTCTAAAAGATCCTATTATTAACAATCCTAGCATGCTAAAAGGTCACACATCAATTTTATAGTTTGATCAGTTTTCTTTCCACAACAATGTTTGTGCTCCCCTGGTGTTATGTGTGTCACTGGTTAAGAGGTGCTCCCATGAAGCTGACAGTGAGACCTGGGTTTGGAAGCCCTGCTTTCAAATTCTTGTTCCACTAGCAATCTTAGGATATCCTTGGTTTAAGAGTGCAATTAAATAGCGGGGGAGATGTAAATGGATCCACTGCCAAATTGCACTAGGGGAAAAGGATTTCCTTAAGTGAAATCACTTTAGGTAACCCCATAGGAGTCAGCAAAGAGAGCAGAGGGAATAGGCAATAAATGTCTCACCTTCAGCCAGCCGGCATAGAAAAAGAACTGTAGGAGTGTGGGGAGTGGAACATACATATCTAGATCTTCATGTTTTTCTCCATCTGGGAGTTGCAGGAACTGACGCCCAACCACACAAAAAGCAAAGAAGGAATAGACAGCTATAGTGACCACCTATGGAGAAGATAATATATGGATTAAAATTAGTATTTATCCCACTTACCCAATTTTAAAGAAAAAATTAGCATTAAACTCACTGCTGCTCACTGACCTGTGTGTAAACCAGGGGGATGCTGATCCAGTCATAATGAAAAAGCATGCTGCATTTGGAACGGTAAAGGTTCAGCTCCTGAGCAAAGAAAGGCAAAAGATTTTTTTCAGAGTCTGCACTGCTGGTCAGCAGATTGTGCCACAAACAGCTGGTACTTGAGAGGAATCCCAGGCTTCCTGGCCTATTTTTCTTCCCACCTGTCAATAGGCATAAATTGAAGACACATACTGTAGAGGATTTGCTGCTGCCAGTGTGTGCTAGGATTTTTGCAGCATGGATGTCAATCCTTACATGTCCTTTTCATACATATCACCTACGAACAACATGTGGCACTTTTGCAGCATAGTCAAAAGGACTGTTACTGGGGCAAGCTTAATGTGTTGTTTGGCATTAGTAGAGTTGCCAGGTCTCAGGACATGGGCTAAATTCTCAGGGTTTTTTGGGTTGGCAGATGGCACAAATACGAGGGCACATTTCAGTGCGGGGGAAGTATTTTGTGTACGTGACACGTCTTTAAACCCCAGACATCACTCTGCAGCTGTACAAAGCTATCCAGTGGAGTCTTTTCAGATGGTCAAGGGCCTGTTGCACAGATATCCACAAGAGAGATGGTATATGTGAAGATTCTCAGTCATCCAGGTGTGGTTATCTGGAAGTTGAGTTATGGCAAATGGACCTCTTTCTTGTTAGGTTGAAATGTTTCACTACTCATTCAAACAGCTTCTTCAGTCTGAGAAGAGTTGGTAGGAAATCCTTGATATATCTTCCAGGTTGGTTTGAACACGCTTGTTAGAAGGACAAAGGATTGGGGGTGAGAGATAATCCCACTTCTGCAGTCCTTCTCCACCCATTGTCATGGGTAATTAACGGTAATTAACAGTGGTCTTTCAGGTGTGTGTGTGGTCCTAATCTTTCTTGGGACGGATAAAAGGGCAGCATGATAAATAGAAGATGGATTGTATCTCAGGCATCCACCCCCTTTAGTGAGGGATTTTTTTCTGAATTTTTATTCTTTTCAATGGGAGTAGGATTATGGGGTAGGCAACTCTCCTCAGACTGAAGAAGCTGCTTGGATGAGTAGCGAAATGTTTCAACCTAACAAGAAAGATACTGTACCTAGTTGACACGACTGGACCTCCAGATAAGAGAGAGATGGTGTTTGCACAGCACTTTGCAAAGTCACTTGGACACACTCTGATTTAGATGCTGTCGTTGACACAGGTCCTGTTGATATAACTTTGTCCCCTGCTTGTCCTGTTATAATTGATATGTTTCAGTTGGTGCAGCCTGAGGCTAGGGATCGGATCTTTGGAGAGGTTACAGCCATGACATCTGCACTGGGCCCTTGCATACCTGGCTCATAAAAGCAGCCAGAGGGGGACTGGCTGTGAGTTTGGGAAGCGGTGAATGTCTTATTGCAACAAGGCAAGAAACCAGAATGTCTAAATGAAGCAGTAGTAAGACTTTTGTTTAAAATGCCCTCCTTGAATCCCACTGTATTGGATAATTATTGGTCAATCTCCAATCTTCTAATTTTGGGCAAGGTTTTGAAGCCTGTGGTGGTCTGGCTCCAGAAGTTCCTAGATGATGTAGATTATCTAAATGCAGTCTGGCTTCTGACTTGGTTATGGAACCGAGACTGCTTTCATCACCATGATGGATAACTTAAGCTGGGAACTAGACAGGGGAAGAGTGTCCCTGTTGGTTCTGCTGGACCTCTCAGCAGCTTTCAGTACCATTGATCATGGTATCCTTCTGGACCATCTCTGTGGGATGAGACTTAAAGCATTGTTTTACAGTGGCTCCAGTCTGTCCTGAAAGGGAGAACTCAGAAGGTGTTGCTGGGGCAATCCTGTTTGACACTCTGGTAATTGGCCTCTGGTGTCCCTTAGGGCAGTGGTCCCCAACCTTGGGCCTCCAGATGTTCTCGGACTACAACTCCCAGAAGCCTTCATCACCACCTCTGCTGTCCAAAATTTCTGAGAATTGAAGTCCAAGAACATCTGGAGACCCAAGGTTGGGGACCACTGCCTTAGGGTTCAGTTCCATTCCCTATGTTACTCAACATCTATATGAAACTGCTGGGAATGGTTGTCCAGAGTTTTGGGGATCAGCGCCATCAGTATACAAATGACACCCAACTCTATCTCTCCTTCCTATCTGACTCCAAGAAAGTAGGTCTGTGCATAGACCAATGCCTGTGGTCAGTAATGGACTGGATCAGGGCTAACTGAAACTTAATCAAGATGAGACAGATGTGCTCCCTGGTCAGTTTCAAGGCAAATTAGGGGACTGGGATCTTGCCTGTACTGTATGGGGTTACACTCCCCTTGAAAAGTCAAGTTTGCAGCTTGAGTGTGCTCTTGGACTCAACCCTGAGCTTGGATGCATAGGTTTCATTGATGGTCAGGAATGTCCTTGCACAGCTAAAGCTGGTGTGGCAGCTGTAGCCATTCCTTAAGATGTTTGATCTGATGACAAATACCTTACTTCATCTCATCTGGATTGCTGCAACTAACTCTATATGGGGCTGATTTTGAAGAGTACAGTATTCAGAAACTTTCACCAGTTCAAAACTGCTGACTGGTGCTGGTTACAGGGAGTGTATAACTCCCATATTGCAACAACCTCACTGGCTGCCTCTCTGTTTCCAGGCTCAATTCAAAGTGCTGGCTATTACTTATAAAGCCCTATACAGACTATTTGAAGGATCGTATTACTCCATATGAGCCTTCTCAGGTTTTAGGATCTTCTGGGGAGACCTTTTCTCACTTCCACCACCTTCCCAAGTTTGCCTGGTGAGGACACAAGAGAGAGCCTTCTCAGTGTTTGCTCCTGTGCTTTGGAATGCACTGCCTCAAAAAGCCAGGTTGGCCCCCTCCCTCTTTTCTTTCTGTTGTCAGACAAAGACTTTGCTTTTCAGGCAAGCTTTTGAGCAATAAGTGGGGGTCTAGGGAACACTCTCTTTATAAAATTTTAAAATGTTTTAAAACTGTTTTTAAATTGGTTTTTAATATTGGTTTTAATATTGATATATGCTTGTTTTAAAATATAGTTTCTATGGTATTTTAAACTTATTATTGTACAGTTTTAATTCTTGCAAGCCATCTTGGTTCCCTTATGAGGAGAAAAAAAGCATATAAACAAACAAACCCATTCCCAAGGGATATAAGGTCTCACTGGCTCAACAGAAAGGTCTTTGTGAGTGTGTGTCATTCTTTGCTCCTCCACCCAACCCTTGCCTTCCCTGCCTGTGTCACATGACAAGGACCCAATCTTCTGACATCACCCGGATCCATTGCCCCGCCTTAACATTTGGGCCTGAAATCTAAGGGAATGGGATGTCGCTGTTTCAGTAACCCAAAGTACTGGCGTGCAAGGCCCTTTAAACAATCAAGGATCAGGTTATCTGAGAGACTGCATTGCTTCTCTCACTCCTGCCTAAACTCTTTTATCTCTGAGGAAGCCATTCTCATTAATGCTTCACATTGCTTTGATTAATCTGGCAGCAGTCAGAAAAGGACAGAGAAGTATAGGAGTTGCTCTAAATGGCCCAGCTAGCAGTTTCCCTCTTTCCCGAGCACTTACATCAATGAGCAAACGGAGTGCCACATCATCTCGGACCCTTCCATCCCGTCGTGCCTGGGCTGCTAGATTGGTGAACCACACACAAGGGATCCAGTACTTGTTGAAGTCCGAGTGGAGACTCTCAAACATCTTGCGCTCATCCTGAGTCATGAAGCCTGCAAGAAAAAGGTGAAGGAAAGTTGACTTTCTGTTCTGTCGTACTAGGAGGGACTAAGGAAATGAGATACTGCTGACCCACAAGTCCTAATAAGGTCTTCCACTGATACAATCAGAGCAAGCCTCATTCACCATTTTCCCTCATCAGTCATATGGAGCAAACTGCATAATACATGCTAAGAATGTGGGGATATAAATGTGGTGGCAATGGAGTCAAGCGTGCCATAATGTGGCACCACAAACAAAAAGTAATTGCCCTTCATGTTACATACTGGCTGGCAATATGCCAAGATGGGAGGAATATCATAAAACACTAAGGTAGTCAGTAATGTTAGTGATACTACTAATGATGACACACAGGTATTAGCTAATCAGGCTCATTCATGGATCTTTAAATTACCAGCAGGAAATTTTCTCTCTTTTTCTGGAGGGAAGGGGGAACTGATTGTGAGGGTATAAAGGACCTAGGGCTGAGAAGAAGAGTCCTTGTCAAGACAATGGCTGATGAGGAACAATAACTCACAGTTATTGATAACACAGAGACATGAGTAATACATCTTTTTTAAAATGTTATATTGGCTACTAACAAATTTTTGCACATATTTTGTTGGTTGAGTTTTACCCAGTGAAGGAGTCCTGTGACTTTATACTGACTTTTCATCATCTACTTAAATTAAAAGAATATGCTGCACTCCTTTCTCATTAAAGTGTAATAAAACTTAACATTTATAGATAAATTCCAGCCTATCCAATGCCCTTTTTGCCTTCTCTCATACCAAAGAGATGTCCAGTTAAGAAAGGGAGAGGGCAACCTTCTACAGTTTGGGTTCTAGTGTAGTGAACCCTCTTTGTCACTAAATATTTCCTGCTATGAGAACACCACCTCCAGTCTGTAATTATAGAAAGAGAGATGAGAGTTTGGAGGTGGTTTTAATACTAAGAAAGTGAGTATTAAGCCCTTTCTCTATTTGCAGGCTGAAGAAACAGCTTTATCGCTAACCATGCCACAATATTATTTTTGACAAAAGTAGAGCCCATTTGAGACATTCATTGAGGTATTCATTAATAATCCAACATTTTTTTTTTCAGCCCCAAAGTCAAACTCACCAGCTTCTACTATGTGGTCCATGGTGGGAAATCTTTTAAGAACTCTGGTGCTGACTGAGCGCAGGATGAGCACAGATGACAAATTGGCATATCTGATGAGAGTCCTTCTCAAGATGCGGCCCTTGTCATCCCGTCCATGCACATTGCTGGAAATGACACACATCAGCTGGTCTGGCAATGGAATGCTGGTGTATTGGGCCCACCAGCGGTTCACAATCAGTGTGACATAGAAACCTGCCCAGAAAAAAGAGGAAGGGGCTTTTATTGTAGAGACTGTAGTTGGCATAAGCATGTTTGCTGTCTTGGCAAATCAGTACTATTACCTGAAAAATTATATTTAGTTTAACTCTAGCACCTAGTTCAACATATTTACATTTGGATAAATTATTTTAATATTAATATTTTAGTAATATTAATTGTGTGCCACTGTTAATTCTAGCTTTCACTGATCCTTCTCAGGGCTTTCTAGGTAGAAAGTACTCAGAAGTGGTTTACCATTTCTTTCTTCTGGAGACATCCTGGGATTGTGCCGCTTGCCCAAGGGACCCACAGGCTGGCTCTTCTCCCAGGAGGCCCAGCAGGGAATTGAACTCCCAACCTCTGGCTCTGTAGCCAGAGACCTAACCCGTTGAGCTATCTTTACTATTGACATTTTGATATTTATTTGAGTTTTCTAATACAATTAAAATTATTTAAGTAGAAATTTCTTAAAATTAAGATGTATAAAATATTTTGGATCAGAATACATTTATTTTAACAAATTAACAAATGGAAATTAAAACTGAGCTTTTACAAATATATCAGAATCTTGTTTACATTAAACATTTGGTAATTAAATATATAATATAGATTTGATATTTGTTAATACATAACCAAAGAGTCCAAGTGTGCTTATAATGCAAATGTTCTCTACTGGAAAAGGAACTTGCCTCCCCCCCCCTCCCGGCAAACCCTTATTCTTATCTGTGTTTGCTCAGCTACAACACACACAAAGATGCACACACACAATGTTTTCCCACTGCTATTACAGGTTTTCTATAAAAACAATATCTACAACTTCCTGTTTTATATAGCATGATCTGGGTTTTCTGAACCTGAAATAAAAATAATTAACCTGCAGGATTCACTGGGGCTAGGCTTTACTGTCCTTCTGCAAGTAGGCAAAGAGCTTTCTCTTCAGGCACGCATTCTCTGAGTGACTGGCTGCCTGAGTGACTGCCTGAGTGGGCTTTTTAAATGGATTGTTGTATCTTACTGCATTGAATGTGTTTTTGATGTTACTTTTTTTTAGTATGATATTTGTTAGATCAGTTTTTGTATTTGCATACTCACAATTTTTTGCTTTATTTTAATGATCTGATACGGCTTTCAAACTAATAAAGTTATTTCCCTGTTATTGAAGCTGATATATGTTGTTTCTTTTGCTAGAGAAAATCAAGATTCTTTTAGGTTGTTTGTTTTCACTGGAGACTCAGACGTGCATTTTCCATTGGGGTAACCAACATGTAGGACTGTGTGTACAGTACTGCTAGACTCAAACTCAGGTCTGTCCTAGCTAGCAAAGCCAACAGTGAATAGCACTGGGAATTTGCAGGCCAGCAACATTTAGAAAGCCACAACTCCCACTTCTTATTTTGTATTTTCCCCCTATTTAGCTATGCATTGTTTAGACATAAATTGTCTTTCCTGTCGAGCTGCCCTTTAAATTTTCCCTACTCATTTCTGACTCCTTTGCTTTCTCTTTTTTAGTTCTGTGTGCCCCTTGCACAAGTTATCTGTACACACCCCTCTTTCCTTATTTAGTCCTTGTCTTTCCAAGTATGCAGTATTACTGTGACTCCTGGTATGCAGTATTACAGGATAGCTGTTTAGCAGCAGCAACAGAAGTTCATAGTGAGAGAATTAGGTGAGAGGTAGGCATGGGTATTAATGACGCCCACATAAGTGTGAGAAAACTTTTGAAGTGGTTTGATATCTATTGCCAAGAAAATAATCTATGCATTAACAATAATAATTCTAAGGTGGTTGTATTTGGCAAAAAAAGAGAGAGAAACCCACAAATGTCTATAAATTCCAAAGATTTACAGCAGGTTAATGCTGCGAATGGTGGATTATAAATTAAAACTGCTCCTGGCTGAAGTTGGATTTACAATTGGAGTGTTAAGTGGGAGTCTGGGTCTGGACTGACTCATTTAACATGAAGATGGACTGATTAATAGTTTGACTGTTTTATGGCTCCTAACTGAATTGGGAGTACAGGAAGGGGAGGGAGCCTGACTTGGTGGACGTGGGGCGAATGGAAGAGAAAACACAAGCAGAGATGGGCCTGCTGATTTATAAGAAGCAGTAGTGAAATATTTGCACTTATTAAAAGCTGAATTATTTTACTTTTCTGCAGAAAGTGTTATTCTACAATAAATCTATATCCAAGAAGCAGAAAGGACAGCCCTTAGTCAATGTACAAGTCCATCAAAACTTATAATAGAAGATTATTTTAAGAACTATATACAGGAGTTTCAAATGAACACTATCAATCAACTTAAGGATTCTATTAAAACCCAGACCCTTGAAATTACGGTGGTAACTTCAGGATATAAAGAGGATGTGGAAAGGAATATGCAGATGGAAGACCATTTCACGAGAGCAGCGGAAGCAGCAGAAAAAGAGACTTTAGAACCAAGATTGAAGGGAGATAAAATAATGGCACTTTATGAAAGGAAGGTACAGGTGGATGAGTTGGTGATTTACACTAATGAGAAGATTACTAAAAATGTATATTAGTTTGACAGAAGAGAATTTAGAGAAGGAAACATGAAAGCAGTGATGATGGAAGGGGTACAAAATCTTGGCTGTAATTCAGATATATATGACTGGATTTGAATGTTGAATGACAATTATAGATGGATTCAATCAGTAAATTTGAGAGAATGTGTTTGTGCGTGGTTATAAAATATTTAGAGTTATAAGGTGGATTTGGGATTAAAATGGGATAGCTTGTTAGAGATATTATCTGAGACATTATGGTAAAGAAAACTGAAAAATGCTTTTTTTATCAAGCCCAGAAATAAATATGAGTAGAAAATATAGCATAGTTTAAAGACTTTAGTACTGTAACATAGTTATGTAGTTAAGGTTACATATTAGATATTGTATTATGGCAAACATTTCAAACTAGAAATGCTCTTGCTGAATTTAATATTAGAAAGTCTTGACTTGAAATATATATAATAAAAATGTATATTTAAAAAAAGCATACTGATTCCTCCAAATAAAGCAATTAAACACAGTCAGGCATGTAATTGAGAGCACATAGATAAACCATACCTAGCACAAAAGACAGGGGTATCAGGTCCAGGGACCGGTTGCAGTATTGAGCTACCTTTTCGAAGAGACGTTTTTGATTCTCATTTAAAAGATGCCTAAGAGGAGGAGGAAAGATTGTCAGCCTTTGTTTGGTAGGTACATTCTTCATATGTCAAACAATATCCAATGTTTTACTGTATCTTTCCTACCAAAGCCATTCCTCATTCACTGATCATCCTTCCCATTAAAGATAAAAACCAAGACAGCTAACACTGTACTTAAAATGAATTAAGCAATATAACTACGAAATCACAGAAAGCTAGCAAATAAAACTGTTAAAATTGGAAAACATTGGCTGGTCTTTGGCATACATTTCATAAGAGCTGTAAAATCAAAACTGATTGTAAAACTCTAAGAAATGTGTATCCCACAATCTGGGGGCAATGTAGGATAAAGACCTATTCCATTTGGCCATCAAGCAGGCCTCCACAAATGGTGATATTCTCAAGAGGGTCTTTTCTGAAGATCTTAACATCTGGGTGGGTTCATAGGGGGAGAGGTAGCCTCTTAAATAGCCAGGTCAAGCTACTTTGGTCTTTAGAAGTTAAACCAGCATATTGTAAACTAAGCACTGACAAAACAGTCAAGAGCCAAAACCAATATGATTCTTATTTATGAGGAAGAATGTATCTTTCCCACCAAACTGAAAACTAAGTTTATGGATCACAGTGTATAAGAGATTAGCCTTTTCAGCACAAAGGAATCAACATTTGAAGCCTGAGATAGAAATGTACTCTGATGATGTACTTCTCAGTTGATAGTCCCACACAGGACCAGCACTAAAGGTTTTCAGAACGCCATAGCCTTGTCATGGTTGGAACATATGTTCAATGTTGGAGGAAATGCAGGGTACTGAATGGATGGAATGGTGGCAAAATGACACAAGAAAAGAACCATCCCCAGACCAGTGGAAATTATACTGAAACCCATCCTAGATCTTGGGAAATTTTGCACTACAGTTTGTAAGATCACTCAGTCAGCAGGAGCAGTAACCAGACAGTCTGTGAGATTTTGGGAGCTGCAACCCAAAAGTAACTTTTCCAAGCTCTGTCCCTATATTCTTATCAGATCCTAGGGTGAGCCTTGCCCACCTTTTCAGACCTCCCTTTTTTTACAGTCCTAAAGATCAGAAGAAGTGTCTTTTTTTAAAGCTGTGAATTTCCAGAAGATGCTACATTTTGGACCTTCCTTGAGTTTAAGAAGAATTGCAGATTGCTTGGTTTCCTGCATCCTGTGGAAATTACTAGTAGAAGAAGGCTTACATTGTTTCAAGGGGTAAAGTTCTGTGTTGAGGACAATTTGTTTTTTTGCGACTAAATTCCCAGAACCCCCTAGCCAGCAGGAGCCATGGCCATGTTAGCTGGGAGATCCTAGGAGCTGCCATCGAAAAGAGGAAAAATTTCCATACCCTACATGGCTAGTGATTTTAAATTTTAGAGGTGTTGTCAACTCACCTGTAGGTAGCACTGAGCACTGCATAGAGCATGATGAAGACAAGGAACTCCTTGTACAGTAGCTTGTAGATACTCCCTTTCCATCGGAAGAGAAGCTTGGAGAAGCCTCCAAAACGAGCATTGGCTACTTTCAAGGTATATGAGATGGTCATAGCTGCTTCATCTGCTTCCCATGCAGGCACAAACTGGGCCAAAAAGAGAGATAATGTGCAGGGTGGAAAAATATCACATTGCTTTTCTCACCTGCTAATTTGATTATTAAATGCTGAACTTGGGATGTTGCTCCACAGCGAAGCATTACTGAATGTTTACATGCCATGGAAGCCCTTTCTTTAGGTATTAATGACAGAGATACTACAAAGATTTGCAGAGGTGTTTGTCCAGAGGTGCAAGGCATTTAAGCAAAGGGAACTCACTAGCCAGTTTCATGACTGGTGTTTGTTTTTGCCACTTGGCTGGTCCGCAAGTAGTCCCTATGCAGTTGCTTGCCACAGAGCAAGTTAGTTCATCCTAAGAGAAGGCAGTGTGTGTACAAAGGAAGGTAAAATTCTGACCATCTTATTCTTGCTGAGTCTCACGATTTCCCACTGACATTTTGTTCTGTCCATTTTTGAATCCAATCTCAAGACATTGCACACATGTTCAGCACAGAGATTCATGCACATGGTTTTCTAATGAAAATGGGCTAAAACTACTGTACTGCGGCAACTTTAAGATTAACAAATCTATTTCAGTGTTAGCTTGTGGGTTACAATCCATTTTCTCACAAACATGGATTAGTTGTTCCTCAGACTGCAATTCATGAAAGCTCACACTGGAATAAAGTTGTTGAACTTACATGTATACAATCTGACTGTGTTTGAAAAAGTGGATTAGTATCTTTAAAAGGTCACACTGAAATAAATGTGTTATCGGCTGCTTATCCCTAATGTCCAGCCTCTGCTGATGGAGAAGCAAGGGCTGAACCTCAAGGCTGGAGATTCTTAGTTGAAGGCACAGGAACTTCTAGAAGCTTAATTAATGTCCTGCTTGTGTAAACTACACAGGCTGGTGTTACATCTGGGTATGTTGTTGTTGTTTTATTCAATTTAGTTATCTCCCATCTAGCAAAGTCGCTACTCTGTGTGGTGTATAGCAAAAATTTAAAGAAAACATACTGTCAATTATGAAATTCACTATAAAAGCACTGAACTAACCTTACAAATAAATAAACAAGACTAGACAAGTGGCAAAATAACCATTTCACAACTTACAATATTCCTCTCCTTTGTCCTCCTCTGTCCCAATTAACTGAAGAAAACCTCCCCAAAAGCTTTCCTTAAAAGCTCTGTTTTCAAGAGCTTTTTAAAGGTCTGAAGAGAGGGTATCTGCTATAACTCCTGTGGAAGAGCATTCCATGGCTGAGAAAACCAGGTTTCTAGTTAACATGTTCAAGGCTTCTTAAGGTATAAGGTCTGCAACGGCCAGGTCAGATAGGCCACTGAACTTGGCAGAAGACATTTGGACAGATAGCGAGGTCCCTTTATATGCTAGAACCAAGATTGTGAACCTTACACTGAAGCAACCAGAAAATTGATTAAAAAACAACAGCAACAACCACAACAAATGCAGAGAGCAGAATAGAAAACCATGAAATGTAATGGATGGGAGGTATCATTGAATGGGTGTTCTGCTGAAAGATGATTAAGCAAAAGAGGGCAATTCCAACGAAAAGGGCCAATGCAGAAGTAGTATAAATCCTATTTTTATTAGCGCTTCCTGAGGTCATCCACAGTAAATGCTAATAAAAATAGAGATTTAGACCACTTCTTCATTGACCGAGAGATAAAATATCCCATTTCACTGAATGGTATAGAAGTTAAAAGACAGTAAGCTTCTGAGATATGCTGAAACTTCTATAGATGCTATAACTGAAGTTTCTGCTGAATAAGGATGGTGTCACAAAAAAGGCAAATAGAAGATAGACAACAAAGTAACTCACCAATAGTCAAAAAGTAGCATGATATGACCTCACCTAGGTTACAAATCTACATGGCTGTTAACAAATGCCCTTTAAAGGATTTAACTTTTGAATACACATAGTTAAGATTGTAGGCAATCCAACATTAATAAATCTTCAAGAAAGGTTCCAGGTTACATGAAAAAAATGACAAGTTGTATCCATATCCCAATTTTCTTTGACCATTCCCCCCCCCCCATAGTTAGGTTCCTGTTACTTCAGTTTATTGGGTGGAAATTCATCAGGTCGGGACAGCATTAGATGCAGCTGCTGCAGCTGTTAAATCTTTGCCTATATGGCAGCTCAGAGAGATGCCCTGTTAGAGGCAGGGGGTTGCCAACCATCTCTTATTGTGGTCTGATACAGAGAACTGAGAATAAGCTCTTACCTGTTTTGAGGGCTGGACTGTTGGCTTGCTGTAAATTGTTCCACTAGCACAGGGAAAGCAGAAACATTGCTGCCCACACCCTTTAAATACCTTGCACATGGTCAATAAAATCAAGTGCATGAAATGATAGATTGAAGGCTATTAGTTGTCCAAGAACAGGGAACTGTGTAGATGTGATATACATAGTTATCATTCATTTTTGTAAAACGTTTATGAAAACTTGCTGCAGTTTTTAAAAAAAACCTTAACTGGAAAGGAAAGTCAAACTGCAGGTTAGAGTTTGGATCTTATTAAGCCCTAGATGAATGTAACTGTAGTTCCTTATGTCTGACCATTCCTTGAAGGACCCCAAAATGACGTTGCACAAAGTTCTCTCTTTCCCTGGCTGCCAGCTGTTTGTCAGTAGTGCCTTACGCAAGAAAACTGAGAATAGAAGCGTGGTTTACTATTAACTATTGCTTAAAATCCTATTCAGTTGTGCATCTTGCTTATACCCACCTTAATTCTGTTTCACGTAATTTTGTGTTTGAACAATCATCATCACTGTGAGAAGCAGATGTCCAGGTTTAGTCTTAGGGACAGACATATGGTACCACACTTCAAAAGATCAGCATGTACCTATATGTATGTGGAAAGCTAATGTCGTATCGTGGTTAGAGTGGCACACTAGAACTCAGGAGACCTGGATTCAAATCCTGTCTTGGCCATGGAAACTCGTAGGTGTGCTCACAAGTGTCTGTGTGTGTAACAATGGTAAAAGCACTCATATATTCTGAAAGCCCTATTTAGGGTCTTTATAAGTCAGACACAGAACATATGTGTATCACTTAATGGCACAGGACATCAATACAGAACTTGCCATCAGAAGACTCGGGACAATTGCTTCTGTTTTATCATTTCCTCTCCTTAACTGACTTGCTTGTGTCTTTTCTTTCTTGAAAGCATTCTCTGCCAGTCCCTTAGGATTTTAAACACCTTTCCTATTCCCCAGCAAGTGCCCCTGTTGTCTCAATCAGGGTACAAGAATCCATTCTTATAGAACCCCCAATAAATTTCATCTTCCAATTCATCTCCATCAAGGCATCTTGAGACTGAATGTCTGAAATGTATGGACCCCAAGCTGTGTTTGCTGCAAATGATAGAAGTGGATCACCTCCAAGTCCTTCCAACCAAGAGGCAATTTTTGCAGATCCTCCCTCCGTTCACCACCCTGCATTACCTCTCATTCTACTCTAGATGGTCATCTAACCTCCCAGACCATCTTTGTAAAGAGTCGCAAGGTTCTTCAAGGAGAAGGAATCATAACAATCTTTCCTTTTTACCCTTTACTTCATCCTCTAAAACATGTGGCACTCCAGGAAGTGTTGCTCCAGATCCAGACCTATAAATATTTTACCTCACCTTGAGTAGAAAGGAAATCCTTTCTAAAGTCAGTTGATTGTACATACATGTCTTACGTCCCTCATTTCTTTCCTCACCTTCCTATTTCTCTCTAAACTTCACTTCCAACAACTCTCAGCTGAGAAGAAATTTTGGGAATCAAACAATCCATTGATATGAAATGTTTAGACTGCACTTTGCATTGTTTCATTCAGGATTATTTTAGTTCTCTTTCTGCTAAAAACATACGTGAAGAAGAACTGATCTTAAAAATTAACAAAAAGATGTTTGTGTAGCCGTCCCTGCACAAAGAAGTTTAACCTCTCCATGAAAGAAAGAGGCGAGAGTGCGTTTGGAAAAGGAAATAGATTAGAGTGAGACCAACTTCCATATATTCTTACTTAAGCCCCTATAGTACTAACAGCCCAGCAGTCATCCTCAAAATCTTAGTGGAATGCTTGCTTTTTGTGAATTCCCCTGAGAAACATATCTGGACTTTACACCAACAATGAATTTACAGCTCCACAATCTCATAAAGTAATCATTTATCCCACAGAGTATGTAGGCTTGCTTGGTTTCCCGTGATTATTACTGCCTATAAACCTGTCTAGCTGGATAGTTCAGTGAGTTCGGTATCTGGCTGGGAGACAGAGGTTGGGGGTTTGACTCCCTACTGTGCCTCCTGGGAGAAGAGTCAGCCTATGGGTCCTTGGGCAAGCTGCACAGTCCCGGGACACCCTGGTTGCTGAAAGTCAGAATTGACTTGACAGCATGCAGCTTTATTATAATAAATCTGTTCTTCAAGAGAAATGTCTCCTTTACTTACTCTGTTTTGATGTTGAGAGAGGTCTCTGTACTTAGTGCCACAGGTGGAGCACCACTGCCTTTCCAAATATTTTTGCCTACAATTTCCATCATCCTCATTCAGGACAGTCAATGGGAAGGGGCCCCTGCTTCAGCCCACCCTTTTAGCAGAGATGACAAAGCCAATGCTCTTTGAAGTTACAATAACAAAAGCAGGGTGTCCAGATCAAGGGGTGTACACATCCTGAGATATGTAGTTTGGGGAACCATGACCCCTAGAGTCGTTTCCAACTCTGTGATTCTATGGTTCACACTAAGCCCATCTCATAGCCTCACTGACATGGAAGAAAGCTTTGAAGCAGATATGAGTTCCACCAGTCATGGTTTCATTTAGACAGAATAGGCAAAATGTGACCAACTCTGACACCCGTGTAATTTTTCTTGAAGGCTTCAGTGACTCAACCTAAGAGCTATTTCAATCTGTCCAAAACTAGGCCATTGTTGTGGACTTTGTAATAAAGTACTAAGTGAATTTAGGTGTTTCCTGCAGGTGAATAGTTAGGACAAAAACATCACAAATCAATTTGCAGATAACAACACTGGATTGCA